TGGGATCTAATGATATGAAATTTAGTTCCCAATGAAATATCTCTTGGTTAGAATGTCTCTCTCAATATTATTTATGTATATATATGAATATGTATGTATATATATGAATGTGTGTATGTATGTATATATACACATATATATATGAATTCTGTTGACACAGCATTACATATACCTCATGCTAACCTCCAACTCACTATATAGAAAAGAGCGACTTTTAAACTCCCGATCTTATTGCCTTTATCTTCCAAGTGCTAGTATTCAGGTTGTATCACCACATCTGGCTTTTTTTAAAAAAAAAAAAACTTCATGTATATGTTCATATGTACAGATGGGTGCACATGATGGTGGAGATTAGAGACTGATGTCTGGAGTTTTTCTGTCTTTCTTCTCCTCTTCCTCCTCCTCCTCTTCCCTGGCTTCTCCTTCTTCTTCCTTTTTTTGGAGATAGTTTCTCATTGAGTCTGGATCTTATCAGTGAGTCCCAGGGGTCCTCTTCTTCATACACATACCCAGGACCCAGTGCTGGAATTACAGACACAAACAGCTACACAAATTTTTATGTGAGTGCTAGAGATCTGAACTAAGGTGCTTCTCATGCATGACAGGCATTTTGTTGAACTTCCTCTAGTTACCTACTGTGTGCCATCCCCACCCCTTGCTTTTGAGACAGTTTCCTCCCACAAAACCCAGGATGGCCTGGAATTTGCTATATGCCCAGGTGGGCATCCACAATCTCCAATTCCTGCCTACTGAGTGTTGGAATTATAGGCATGTACTCTTGCCTGACTCTTGGCAATGTTTGCGTTAGCTCCAAACTTTGTAGCATTTATTTGCCATGTCATAAACTACATGTTTGATGGAATCAGTTTTTCCTCAAATATATTCTTTAGATTTGGAACAGAAATAGATACTAATAGTACTAATTAAACTATGTATTATCAAGGTAGGCATTCTACAATTCTTGGTGATTTCTATGTGTTTTGTTTAAAGGCAGCTTCATCACGTGGCCCAGGCTGGTCTCAAACTTGAAATCCTCTTGCCTCTCCACCTCCTTAGTGCTGGTATTACCAGCAAGGGCCATTATGCTTGGATCCCTGGTAATATCAGAAGTCTGAATTTCCACTAAACTGTAAGTCCCACAAAAGTAGAGAATATGTGTATTGTTGCATACCACATTGTAACTTGGGCTGTAGTTTCTGGCAGTATTAGCAGTTTAACAAATACTAGGGGCTGTCAGTAACATCTAATATCTGACTTAAACATATATGAAGATGGAACTTTTCTTTGTCTGCTGATTCTGCTCCACCCCCCCTTTCTAGTGCTGGGAAATGAACTCAGGCCTCGTGCATTCTAGATGCTCTACCATTGAACCACTTCCTCACCTTTCATACGGCTAGCACCTTCGCTGGCTTCCATCTTCACTCCAAGTGTCACGTCTCCAAGAGGCTGTTCCTGTCAGCTCTGCATAAGACACACTCTCTCCCTCACAAAGTTCTGTTACCAGGTTGTTAACTTTCTTCACAGTAGACTTATACCCAGAAATCATTTTAGCCATTTATTACCTATCCTCCTCTCCTAGAACTTATGCTGTGGAAGGCACCAGCTCTGTACATACAACAGGGGCATGACATCCATAACCAGCCAAAGTTTCCTGAGTAAATAAGCCTCAGGCCAATGTGTCTAGTTCTTTTAACAATCAGTTTATAATAACAAAGCCTTTCTCCTTGACATCGTCTCACTTTCTTCTAGGAGTGTTAAACAATGAAAAGTAGGAATAATGAAAGACTACCTAAGTCTATGGATGCCAGAGAGGAACTCCTGCATTGTATGCTGGGATAAGCTGTCCAATCTGGGCTGTCACCAGCCTGACTCTCTCTATATCAGGGGCCAAGACAGTCAGCGGGGAGGAAAATCTGCTTTCGATTACTTTCCTCCAGATAGGCGTTTCCTTTTTCTAACTTAAAATTCATTACATTCTTTTTCTGGATTCTAGGCTATTACATAATCCCTCAAATGTCAACTCCTTGAAACTTGGCCCTTAATGTTACACATCTTTCTCTCTTTTGTATCATTACAAAACATCTTAAACAGACACAGAACCACTAAGGTGTCCTAAAACACATCCCCTGGGCCTGCAACATGGGCTCTTATCCCATCCTTCAATGAGATGTTGCAAGCTGCGACACTCTTTTACCTCCACCCCAAGAACAGCACAGTCAGGGCAGATACTGCAGGAGGGGTCGGTGACCTGGGAAGCTTTGTCCCAGAGCACACCATCTTGGATGGGGATAATGAGAGAAATGAGAGTGCCTGGACAGGACTACAAACCAGGCCTTCACTGAAACACAATTTAATAATTGTGCTTTCAATTTCTGCTTCAGACCTTCTACAGATCCACAGTGGATGGATGCTTTTGTCCATTATATTACTCCATGCCCTTCACATAAGAAACCAGCACTATATGCTTCCCAAAATTTAGCACAAGGAAGGAGGCTCAATTTACAATGAAACTTGGAATTTCTCTTTTTATTGAACAGTGCAAACTATATGAAGCCACAGATGCCTTAGCCATGGACAGGCTGCTGGAAATAACCAGCCCAGTGTGTTCCAAAGTGTTATAAATGAAGCTAAACAGCAAGCCTTTTGTTCCTTCCACAGCTGTTTTACTGAGATATAAATCACATCTTGTGAAGCTCATCCTTTTAAAGTGTATGAAGTCAGTTATTTTCAGCATATTCAGTTATATGACATTTCTATAAACCAAAAAAGAAACTCTCACCCGGGTCATTTTCTAGCTTCTCAGCAAATGGGTGTCTCTGTGAAACGACGCCATGGAACTTTTATTGTGAATTAATTAGATGGGCTACAATTGTAGTGTGCTTCATTCACCCACATTCACACACACACACACACGCACAAGCAGACGCACACACTCACACACACACATCTATCTATCTATCTATCTATCTATCTATCATCTATCTCTTTTTCAAGAGAGGGTTTTTTGTGTTGCCCTGGATGTCCTCCTGTCTGTAGCCTATGCTGGCCTTGAATTCACAGAGATCTTCCTGCCTCTGCCTCCCAAGCGCTGGGATTAAAGGAGTGTACCACTACTGCCTGGCCTACATTGTTTTATTTTTTATTTTTTGTCTTTCTTTTTCTGCTTCTTATTTTTGTTTATTTCCTTTTTATTATTTGAGACAGGGTATCACTCTGTGACCCAGGCTGGCCTGGGTCTTGTGGCAATACTCCTGCCTTAGCCTTCCAGGAATTACAGATGTAAACCACCACACCTGGCTTGTCCAAATACATTAAGAGTTAATATTTTGGTGTCTGCTATTCTAAATACTATACATGGATACCTCCACTAATCCTCTTAGTAAAATCTAGAACAGTGGTTCCCAACCTTCCTAATGCTGTGACCCTTTAATGTAGTTCCTCATGTTGTGGTGACCCCCCTCCCCAACCATAAATGTTTTCGTTGTTACTTTATAACTTTAATTTTGCTACTGTTATGAATCATCATCCCATCTGTGTTTTTAATGGTCTTAGGTGATGCCTGTTAAAGGATTGTTGGGCCCTCCCCAAAGGGCTTATGTCCCACACGTTGAGAACCACGGATCTAGAAGGTACCCTATATATGAATATGAATATTAAAATAAAGAAGGATTAAGGCTAAGTAATTTACTGAAGTTTTCCTAAAAGCCCTACTCTACAACAGTGGAAAAAGAAGGGGTAACTAGTATTCTGTAGATATCTTTGTGCTAGCTAGAACAGAGAGAGATATAAGCTGAATTATCCAAGAATTCACAGTATTCTTTCGTTCCTTTTTTATTGGTTTCCTTGTTAGTTTATAGTTAAATCTAGAATTCAATTAATTAACTAATCCCAGGTTCCTGACACAATCTTCTTCAAATGCCTGCCTTTAAAATATAAAGCAGCAACCAAAACTCCTTAATTTTAACATTACAGACTTTCTTAAAAACCTCTTACTTTGCTGAGCAGTGGTGGTGCACGCCTTTAATCCCAGCACTTGGGAGGCAGAGACAGGCGGATTTCTGAGTTCGAGGCCAGCCTGGTCTACAGAGTAAGTCCCAGAACAGCCAGGACTACACAGAGAAACCCTGTCTCGAAAAAAAACAAAATTAAAAAAAAAAAACAAAAAACCTCTTACTTCTGTCATAAAAATCCCAGTCATCTTTCGATGGCTAGTATAGGTAGACACTCGTTTTTTTTTCCTCATCTTCTAGGTATTCAATGTCAACCCTCCTCTGTACACATGCAGCCCCGCCCGCATCTCTCCTCTGAACAAGTTTGCCTGAATTCAAACTGCTTAGAGCTCCTGTCTTACGTCACCTATCAGCCCGAGGTGCCCCGGGAAGCACAAGTTAGTGTCAAATCCAAACGCTGAGCAAGTGCAGGAAGGACAATCATAAGCGGTCAAGCTTCCCATCCATCTCTGGTGTAACTCCTTTAAAAGAGCCCAAGAACACACCTCTCTCCTGAAGCACCCCCAGCCCCAGCCGGGTCTCAGACCGACAGTGCACCCGACAGGCAGCCTTGTGGAGCCTATCAAAGTTCACCGCCACTCAGGCCAAGCCAGTCAAATGAACAAGTGACAACAACTGACTGGGCAGCAGTAGGGGAGCTGCACCTACGTATCCCTTCCGCCCAGCGGAGCTATCCGGAACCCAGGCACCTCCCTGCTTTCTGACAGGGACCCGGGCCAGAGATCAGGGTCCGGCAGGGCAAGGGGACCCTGTCTGGGAGGTGACAGAGCAAGGCCTCGAACTCAAGTCATCACCCCAGGGTTCAGAAGATCTTCAGGGCGAAGAAGGCGAGGACAGGGAGCGGCCTCCGGGTCCCGCTCCAGCACCACGCTCCTGACCGCCGCCCGAGGGTCTGGGGGCACGCGCACCCCGCCCCCGGCTCTGCGCCATCTTGGAGCGCTGAGGCACTCGCTCGGGACCGCCCCGACCGTGGCTCCCGCGGCTACTCACCCGCGCTGCCCGGAGCCAGGCCTCCCGTCACCTCTGCGACCCCCGCCGCGGCTAGCAGAAGCAGCAGCGCGCCTCGCGGGGAGGCCCGGACGCTCGCCATGTCCGGGCCGGGCGGGTCCGAAGCCGCGGGATGCTCGGACCCAGCCTGGCCGCAGCAGCCGCTGGCACCAGGCCCCGCCCCCTGCGCCTTGGACCTCTGGTGATTGGCTGCGGCTCTCCGAAGCCCCGCCCTGGCCGCTCACAGTTTCCAAAACCTCCCGGGGGGCGGCAGCGCGTCCTGGACCCTGGCTCTTTGTTATGGGCCAGCTGTGTGTCGCCTTCGGCCTAGGGCTCGTGGGCTGCGGTCTTCAAACGGGAAGCTAGAGGCTGGAGACCCTTTTGGAACGCCTCTGTCTCGTGCCGGGGCATATGGGGGCTCCCCGCAGCTCAGAGGCGACTAGCCTGCGGAGATCACTCTGCAGGTCCGTCTGATATCCAAGGGCTAAGTCAAAGCTGAACTGCAGGGCGTGCACCCCTAGTTGCGTCCTCCTGAACACTC